CCCCCCCCCCCCTCAAATGGGCATGAAATAAATAAGCCCCCCCTCCCGGGAGGCTTAATAGAGGATTTACGGTAACTATGGAATGTTTTGAACTCACTGCTACCTCTGATCTAGCCTGCGAAAACATCCGTTTCTCCTCGCTTTTCGCCGCTGGGGACGTTTCGGGCGGAGGAACGTCTACCACTCAGCGACACAAATTCCATACTGATGACTCAAATCAATGTTTAGATAATAAATCCGGTAGTCATGGGGTTACAAATACAAATTTGTCCAATTTTACGTGTCTTCTGGTCGATTTTGGTTTAAAGTTTTGTGTTCATCTGCCAACGAGCTCCAGCAGAACTCAAACGCTTCTTCTAGAGAAGAGTATATTCCACAAATATTGACTGTTTTGCTCTAGATTCTTCGCATTTACATTTGACCTTTGTGGCATTTTGTCTTTTGTCTGTCATTCGTAAACATAGCCAAAACAATGTAACTACTCCGTCGACCAATCAGCGCTTCTGATGTCAACTGGAACATAGCTACTGTGGCGCTCGATTGCGACCTATAACAGCCTTTTAGAACGTACAATCACTCTTAAATTTCGCTCATGACTCGAGCATGGATAAACAGCACGCAATGAAAGTACTGCAGCAGTACGCCTTGTAGGCTCGATTACCACGCGCTGTGCCGGAGTACGCGCTTTCCTGGATTTCCCCTGAAAAGGAGGAGAACTGAAAGGCGCACCATTTGAAGGGTCTGAAATGAGCTTAGAAGGAGGTGCCGGTACGAAACAGGCGTTCTTTTGTTCATGCCGGGAGAGAGGCGGAAATCAAACCTACACTACCAGGAACCTGAAACGACTTGGTTTTCATAACAATTTGACACAAGTAATATAATGAGAAGAAATTCTATAAGTACCGAAACTGGAAGTTAAAGTCAATTATCTCTGGTCTGAAAAAGCAGCTAACTAAGAGCCCCTTCCTATGCTGGAAACAAATCAAGCAAACTGTTTTTGACAAAAAAAGGAAAATAAAAGACAAATAAAAAAAATACGACTTATTTCTGAAGACAAAAATCCGTACAATGTTGGACCATTTCGGCAGTCGGTTAATTTTTTCCCTGTTGGTAGTCAGTAATTTTTTTCTCCTTTTGTCGGTAGTCAGTTATATTTTTCGTCGTTTGTCGGTAGCCGGTTAACCCATGCAGACCCTCTTTCAGGCCCTCGCTAAAAATCACCTAGCCTCCCAAGCAGGCGTTTTTAGGGGAGCTCGTTTTTCATGCCTCCCAACAAACGCCTGCTCAACCGAAGACAACATTTCTTTCCCATGCTTAGCCAATCACATTGTACTTTCCAAATTCTGGAAAGTTGACCTTGACTGTAAGGTAATCTGATAATTGCTCGATCTGCAAGAAACACTGGGAAAACTTTCTGACCTCTAATAAATGTTAGATTCAGAGCGGCAAAATAAGATTTAGTCAAATTTTAGAGTACCCCATGCTCTGCATAACCTTAGCGTAAGAAAGAGAAGAAGGAAAACGGTAACTCTAGGGTCATGTGCAAAACGTCAAGCTTATAAAAATAAGTAGATTGAATATGTTTATCACCGCTGTTTGTCTTCTATTTCTTGTCTGATTAGTATTTGCAATCGTTCGCAACATTTTACCCCATTTCAATCACTTCTTAGGAATAGTGCGTAACTTCTCGTTGACCTGTTAAATCAAACGGCTCATTTAAGCCAATTCATGAATCAATAAACATTTTTCACAAAACCCGCCATCTTTGCACGCGCTTAAGGACTGATGGGATAAAAGCAATGTCACGTGGTTTCTCAGGGGGAAAAACAAGTGAAAATTGGTTTTCTGAACCAATTTTGTGGAGGTTGAACCCTTTTCTTATATAACTATGGTACATGTACTTTAGTTCTTTAGTCAGGAGCCGAATGCCACGTGAGTGAAAACGCTCAAAACTCAAAGTCGTTGCATAACTGTTACAACGCTTTTACGCACGTGGCCAGCAGCTTAAATTTAATTACATAATAAAAGAATTCCCAACGGATTAGTTTGGGGAACCAACATGGCCGCCGTTAATTATTGTTGGGAGACCAACATGGCGGACGTGAAGTGATGTGTATAAGATTGCAAATTCTATAATCCTTACTGAGTAGGAAACCGATGGGGATTTTCCAAGCGAACAAGCTTTTATTGTAATTAATCGTTCCTTTGGGTCTGTGGCTTTTTGAAGCTCTCTTCAGAAAAAACTCAGAACCGTCTAACTTCAATTCGATCGATGAAATCGGAGTCTTTCTGCATTACTTAACGAAACTATGCAACAATTTTGAAATAATTCTTTAAACCTTAAGATCACATGGGAATCAAAGCAAACCTTGAAATATTGGTTCAGTTTTATTCAAAATTATTTTCTTCCACGCTGCACCATTAAAAAAGGGACATCTCTAACTTTATGTTGTCGAGAAATGAGCAAAACCAATCAAACGATTGGTTTCCCTTAGAAAGAATCAACAGTTCTGAGTACGGGAAAAGAAGAGAGAATAATTATATCATCACTTTGTTATTATTCCAGTCCAGCTAAAAGAATGTTGAAATTACTTTTTCATAAACCCTTAAACCGAAAGGATGTTTATCATCTCGACCATTTCAGCGTAGCTACCCCGAGAAAATGTATTTGTATATCAAAGCTAACCACTTTTTGTCACATTTCTCTGTTGTTTTATTGTTATTATTACTTTCTATATATTTTTTTTTCAACTGTCTCGGTTAACAAATTGGTCTGAATACATTCATGCCCCATCAACTTGATCACGCGCGAGTCATGCTTAGACAAAACTGTTTAATATATTTTAATAGAAGGAAATTACCTGCATATACCAGAGTACGCTCCTGCCGATTTTTATACCTACAATAAACGGTAACAAGCATTCCTTGATCCGCCTCAGTATGTTCCGACTTTTTTTGGAGAGCCTCGATAACAGAAAAAAATAAAGCCTGGCTACAGGCACGATGAAGCTGGGTCAGTAAATTCCTTTTTGGACGAAACTGTTTCTACTATCGAAGGGGACTATACCCTAACACACTGAACCAAAAATATGTTGATCGACAGTAGCACAGCAGTGCGGACGAAAGAAAATAAAACTGTAGCCTTTACTGACAATCGGTTCAGCTTGGTCGCCTGCTAAAAGTGGTAACAAACGTACCGGCAACATAACAAGTGTCTTTTTAATTTAGTTGTCTCCACTGAGTGCGCTTTAAACGCACAACCGTAGAATGATAATGAAATACATGTAGCGAATATAATCCAGTATTGACATGGAGCCAGCAGTTCTTTTAACTCCCTCTTGCAAAAATCATTGTTAAATTTGTATACCTATTACTCGCCGAGTTTTTCTTGGTTCAAATTTCCCAGCTATATTTCGCCAAACCAGCTAACAAATAAGTCAGTTATCTTGGAATTCGGAGAAATGAAATCCAAGCGTAAAGCAGTCTAACTTTTCCATGTATAGTATAATTCAATATTAATCTCCTTTTCAATTATCCTTCCTTATCGTTTGCCGATCGTAGTACTATGAAAACGTTAAGGGATTATAAGTTATACTTACCTTTTCTGAAAAAGTCGCGATCTGAACTGTTTATGTTGTTTAATTTCAACGAAGATTTTCCTTTCCTTGAAATGCTAGCGTTTGGCCATCAGTCGGCAATCTTTTCATTTTCAATCTCTTACGGCGAGCTCGTCCTCAGAGTCTTCGTTACTCTTGTCCAGCGGAAAATGAGGAAATTGCCGCTTGCTGGCACTATTTGATTGCCCTGCTTTCAAGGACTTAAACGGAAGAAAGAAAATGGCTGTCTATCAAACACTTTAATTTTGGGCTAGGCACGCTCCAAATTGTTAGGCATTTCTACTCCCTTAAGAAACTCAGGGAAGATACTTTTTGACTATATAGTTTCGTGTTGTCTTGGAAAATGCCTATTTAACAGTTTCCAATGTAAAACAAAAAGAAAAAACTTGAAAGGCTTACTTGCCGTTTGAATTGCCAATTTATAGTGAGCGTTCAAAACAAAATTGAAAATACACGAGTGTGAAACCTTGTAAAAGTTCAGAACGTTGGATTATTCAGTGTTGAGTTCATTTAAGGTATTATGGAATATGCATGGCGTTGCTGGGCACCAGTGACATCATTCAAAATTGCCGATATCTTGGCAGTCGTCTCGCATTTTACTGAAAATGCAGACTTGTGTTGTAGATCAATTATTATTTCCGATTCTTTGGATACAAAATGTGGTACGAATGAAATAAGAATATGGAGAATTTAAAAAGCGTTTAGTTCGACAAATCCCTTACCAAACCACCTGTATTTTGAACCTGTATAAAAGTGTATCTCAATAAATGTACCTGAATAGGGGTATTTTTATTATATTTTACGAATAAAACCAAAATAGTCATGGACCTTAAAATGTATTTAGGATCTATTTGAATACTACTTATATAATTTTGGAAGGTTTTCCCTGTACTTGAAACATATTCTATTAAAATTACATTTAAAACAGATACTAAAACATAAGAAAAACACCGTCAAATTTACGCGAGAACGAAAGAGGTGACGTGACAATATGGTCACTTTGAACTTATTAGTCTTGACTGATATTGAAAGTTATTGGCAGACATACATTTTCAGCTTCAGAAATATGGTCAGTATGAGTTAATATGGTCACTATGAGCTTAGCCTTGACTGACTTGACCAATTTTTTGTCATCGATTCAGACAACTAGTAGGCTGTGAAACATTTTGAGCTACCGGTGCAAAAAATCATGATTATTGGTTAGCTGAGATGAGCGTTAGCTCAATCTACGTCTACGCGCGATCAACATATAATGACATGATAATCTTAGATTTTTGCAGGGCCTTTGAAAAAGTCCCCCCATAAAAGAGTTTAGCTGTGAAAATTGCGGCAGATTGACATAAGAATGAGGGACAATAAACGTCAATGGATTCAGTGCTTGTCACTAAACACTTTTAACTAGGAGTACTGAACCTCGTCTGGATTTGCACAAATTTGCACACGGAGTAAATCTGGCAGGGGCAAAGATGGTAAATGCCACATTTGCATACCATTTTAGGAGAGATGATTTGCACCTTTATAAAAAGTCTATAAATTATTATATCTGTAAAAGGTCGAGTTTTTCCATTGACACGGGGCGTAAATAAGTAGGCAAATGTGGCATTTACCATCTTTGCCCGAGATTGACTTCTCAGTTTTTGCATTTTTTGCATCTTTTCTAAGAGCAAGTTTGTGCAACTCCAATTTTCGACCAGTGGCCGGACTTCTAGAGAGAAGGGCAATGTCTATACTAAGGTATTGGTGACAAGTTTTATAAACACGTGCTTTTATTTGCAAATGTTTTCCTTTTTTATACTTGTAGGGTGACTAGCAACGTTGATGACGTAATTTTAGAATTAATGTCTTATTTCACTTTCACATGGAGAAGACAAGTGAAACTTTTCAGCTCTGATACTATCTATAAATCGGCGGATCGTTAATGTTGTTGTTGTTGGATCGATTCTTGTTTTTAGCCCGGGACACTTTCCTTGCTAATTGAAGGAATCGATCGTTCCAGCTGAATCGCAGCTGAATAAGTGCCATATTAAACAAACCTAACCTTTGAGGTCGTGAAGAACGTTTAATAACAATGACTTAATAAAAGCATTAATATTTCAAATTACACTCGACGTCCATACATCGTGGGCTGGAGATTCGATCGCATAGAGAGTAAGGCGACATGCTTACTAGGCTACACTTTAGTGACGTTTACATAGACTAACAAGTCTCATCGCGACCAATCAGAAGTTGGATCGATTCCTCTATTTAGCCGCAAATGCTTTCTTCCCGAACCGCCATATTGAAACGAAATCTGCCAGACGCTATTTTTCAATTCTTCCCTTCCCATGAGACCCCGCGCGCGCCTCAACCTAATCCCCAATCTTTTCTCACCCCAAAAAACACTTAAACAGCGACTGGGTACGAATCTGATCTACAGTTAAAAAGGGCGATTCGCGCTGTAAATTTAAAGCGGCTATTTCACGCTATTTGCTAACTTTTCAAAAGGCTAAAACGTGTTCTCTAGTCAATAGAATTCCAAAAATAATGGTCCAGTTTTGTTATTTAAGACTATATTTGGGCACTGAAACGGTTTTCTGTCGTGTGTAGCTGCGGATGGTACTGAAGGATGGACATGGACTGAAACTTGAAAAAGTTGGACTAACCGTTTGACGTTTTTAAAATCGCCATAACATTATTATGGTTAGGGCTCCCTGACAAAATTTGAATGATATGTATCTTATTTATAACTCTGCAGGAGCATTCTGTATATGGAACGGAAGACATTTTGAGACAAGTTTGGTAATGATCATTTTCTAATGGTTACGAGAAATGACGTCATAAGTAGGAGGTGTTCAAGTTATTTTTGTATGAAAATGCACGTTTTTCAACTTTTTTTGTACAAGATATTTAGTATAGGTAATAGCATGATTTGTAGCGATATTTCGCATAAATACCACGAGTGATATTTCGAAATTGCCGCGTAATTCCACGAGCCGTCAGGCCGGTGAAATTTGAGACAATTTTGAAATATCACGAGTGGCATTTATGCCAAATATCACGCACAAATCATGCTATTATTTGTTTACACTACTACCCGCGTCCTGTAAAAGGTTGTAATTTTCACATGTAGGTAATTCAAATTAAGCTGAAATACCACTGCTCTAAGCCAATCAAATTGCAAAAATTTCTCATGTAATAGTATAATTTACACTAGTACAAAGGACTAATTACTAAATTTTAAACAACAATTATAATAAAAGGCAAAAAAGGGAAAAATATTACATACTCACAAATACATACATTACACAACTGTATGAAAGGCAAACAATTGCTGAACGTGGCGTATTTTACAAGAAATTTAATTAATACTTAACTACAGTGGGTAATGAAGATTGTAACTTTTTTGTGTATTTTTTCGCATTTTTTTCAACTTGTTTTAACGATAAAATTAAAGCTTGTAGATAAAATGAAGCAAAGTACTTATTAATCTGAATTATTTTACATGTCAAGAACAAAAATTACTAATTCTTTCCGTTTTCACCTGATTTCTTATTCTGGGTCTCTGAAATCCAAGATGGCGGACAATAGGGCAACTTGGTGACGTCACAGGCTTCCAGCAGTTCCACCACCCATAAAACATACCTCATTTTGTCGAGAAAATCAAAGGCTTTGCACTTTTCACTCAACAATATCCATATGTAATGAATAAGAAAGGTGAAACTGAGAATTAGCATAATAATCAAGGTAAGGAAACTGTTTTGATATTTGACCAGATTTTCACAAATAAGTTTTCAAATCCGGCAATGTATGGTGATCAATGGGCATGAAGAATTTGCCACATTCTTAAACCAAAGCCAGCGACTGTCACTTGATTTCTTCAAAATTCCAAAATGTGCTGTAAATAAAAAGCTGGAGGGAAAAATTTTAGTCTCTCCTCTAGCCCCCTCCCCTATTTTATATGCCGGCTAAGGCAGGTCAGACAACGCTAGCCGACCCTGAAATTGGGAGAGGGTTTACTTGGTTGGACTTGCAGCAAAATGTGTCCACTAGCTTTCTACGCATTTTCTTGTCTACGAAAGCATAAATTATTGGATTGTAGCAGAAAGAGGACTTGGCAATATAGGCTGGGATTGAGGCTGCTAATTCTGTCATAACATTTGGTTTCAAAATTGCCACAATCGTGCTGATTACGTACGGAGTCCAGGCCAATAGAAATCCCGATGCTAAAGCAACGGTTACCCAAGTCATTTTACGTTCTTTTTCAAGTGCTTCTCGGATAGCATGAACGTTTGTGTTGTTCAAGTTATTCTGCAGAGAGTATTGACAGTACATCTTATATGTTTTGTAGTAACTGGAGACCATTATAGCCACAGGTAGTACATAACATGCCAGCATTAGGCAGAAGGTAAATGAGATATGCGTTGCTTCGTGTGACCTCCAGTTGACGGCGCAGCTTGTTCCGATTCCCTCTAGAGAGTAGTTTGACCATCCGATGATCGGCATCAGGCTCCAGAAAAATGAGTAACACCATAACAGAATAGAAAGAACTATGGCTCTCTTTTTACCGAATTGCGTTTCGTTATTACCGTCCAGAAACCTGCAGAATGTGGAATAACGTTCATATGCAATACCAGCAAAATGCATCATGGAACTTAATCCAAAAAATGCTGTAATGAAAGCATAAATAGTACATCCCGCTTCTCCAAACAACCATTTACCACGTGCATTGGAAAGGACAAGGAGAGGAGTTGTCATAATCGACTGAAGAAAGTCACCAGCTGAATTGATCAGTATGAAAATGTTGGGTGCATCTAGGAGTTGAGGATTTTTGAAATACAGAATACAAATTAAAAGGTTGAGGACCGCTCCGCAGCTTCCAAATATGGTAGTAAGAGCTGTGAAAACCTTGAATACATCCGTCATTTTGTCGGTCCTAGAAAGAAAAAGAAGAATGTTATATCTTGTTGGTTACGCCATGGTGGCTTTCACTTTTATAACCTTTAGCAAGAGAGGACAATGATATTTTTATCTGTCCCTTAATTCTCTCTTGCCTTTACATATTAATTTGTAATTACCTTTCGGTCAACAGAAATCTTTAAAATAATTTCCAATTCATAAAAGTGAAAGTTGTACACGGCCTCCATTGTTGCGAAGCATACTTGGAGGTCAAATTCTTAATAGCATCATCAGTCTGGGATGACAAAGAGGATTATAAGAACTGACATTACCACGAAAGTACTTGCACAAAAATGTAACATGTACGAACTTATGATGCCAAATCGTAACTAAATATTAAGTTTTAAGAGTTTTTTTCCCGAAGTTTTACGAGCTAACGACTTAAATTCTGACTGTTCAGAGACTACCAGCCTACCCACTTATATTAAGAAAGGCCTAAGAGTCTTGATATTCCCTTCGGCCCCTTACTAAAACATTAGCTAAAACTCCTCAATCACACTGCGAGAAGCCAGTCTGGCGAGAACCATTCATAAATGTCAGTCACGGTTTCTGCGATAGAGTAACGACAAATTTCTCCTACATATCATGTTAAGGCTGTTGTTTCGTGCTTGGACGCAAATGTGTGTGGTTTTTGTTACTTTGAGTCTGACAAAAAAGGCACCCTGCTTCTACCTTGGTAAACGCTATATTTACGGAAAACAGACTGATGTAAGCTAAAAATGTTTTCAAGCTAATAGGTGTGTAATCTATGTACTTTATTTGCAGCTTCTGCTGTTTATTTACTATAACTCGCTGCATAAATATATATATATATAACACTGAGAGTGTGATAGTGCGATCACAAGTATTATTAGATGACTAAATACACGTACTTTTTTTCTAACTGAACCAGAGTTTCAATTTTAATATTTCACATTCAAATCATTTCCGAACGAACAATCAAACGGTAAAAGCATATTACGGTTTAGTCAGCAAACTCTTCATTAACAAGACCATGTGAAGTTAAAGCAGTACTAGTCTATTACGTGACTTCGAGCCAACACTAAATGGACCATATCGTTCTGAATAGACCGTCCACAAATCAAACACAATTCATCCAATTCATGAACGATTCTTCTTAGCAGAACGATCGTGCAAATAGCGAAATTTCTCCTCCCTACGAGACGAGACCAGGCCTTCGTACAAGGATTATTATTGATTATATAACCAGGATTTACGCGTACAAAAGCGATAACGGAAACACCTAGTAATCGATTAAACAGTGAGTTTTGTTTAAATCACAAGAGACTAGTCCGGGGGACTGCTCATTTCAGTAAATTCTTACTCATTTAACCACAATAAATCATAATAATCAAAGCCTGGAGACCCGATTTAGATTTTAATAAGTTATCACAAAGGTTCATGAGTTTGACTGTATAGCATTTAACCGCATGACAAAAAAAAAAAAAAAAAAAAAAAACAGTCGCGGTAATGTCGTTTGATGAAGCAAAACAGAACTTCAGGCAGTTTTAAAACTAGATAACAATGTCCGACAATGTGCCGTTAAGCTAAGTAGCAAAAGCAGGAAAAAAACAACAACAAGAAAAAAAAAAAACGCAAATAGTAATTAATAATAAAAATAATAGAAAAAGAAAGAGAAAAGAAAAGACAACTATCCGCGAACGGTACAGCTTTTTGCTCTTTTAATTTCTTTTCTTCGTTGTATGTTTCTATCAACTTGTAAATAACTACAATATTCTGCTTTGGGTACAATAAAATTTGTTGTTGTTTCTTTTAGTTTATGTAAATGCCAGTACGCCCGAGTTACTTCATTTCACGTGGCAGTGACAAACTCAAAAGCCTAAACCCCCATTTTCACACATTTCTTGCTTTTGTAATGTATTGTAATCTATGTCGGGTAACCTCTTGTAATAGCGCAAAAAATAGACTATCTGAAATCTGAATTTGAGTAACTTAAAAGGCCACTCGTTAGTTCACCGCGGAATCTTTAATTTAAAAGTACATCTAAACAAAATCTATACATTTGAAAATGCACCACAAAAGACCTCACAACTAGGTATGAAAAATTAGTTCGATTTTTAGCTCTAATGCAATGGCATTTTCCTAATTTAAGACTTACTTTCAACTGCGATTGTGGCAAAACTCATATGGGATATTTCATTTCACCGACGGGATATATTCGTTCACCGAAAAAGATTGTAATGATTTACTTTTCCGAGATACGATATGGCGAAAGGGTCAGGTTAACGTTGCGATGAAGGAGCGATCTTTACACGACAAGTTGAGTAGATAAAAAGAAAGCTTTTGTTATTTTTCAAGTGATATATCAAATAAATACTAGAAGTTTCCTACCTTCCCAGGATATTGGCCGCCGTTAATTATTGTCTTGGGAGACCAACATGGCGGAAGTGAAGTGATGTGTATAAGATTGCAAATTCTATAATCCTTACTGAGTAGGTAACCGAAAGGGATTTTCTAAGCGAACAAGCTTTTATTGTAATTAATCGTTCCTTTGGGTCTGTGGCTCTTTGAAGCTCACTTCAGAAAAAAATCAGAACCGTCTGACCTCAATTCGATCGATGACTTGAAATCGGAGTCCTTCTGCATTACGTACAGAAACTATGCAACAATTTCGAAATAATTCTTTAAACCTTAAGATCACATTGGAATCAAAGCAAACCTTGAAAGATTGGTTCAGTTTTATTTAAAATTCTCTTTATCTACGCTGCACCATTAAAAAAGGGACATCTCTAACTTTATGTTGTCGAGAAATGAGCAAAACCAATCAAACTTTTGGTTTCCCTTCAAAAGAATCGATAGTTCTTAGTACGGGAAAAGAAGAGAGAATAATTATATCATCACTTTGTTATTATTCCAGTCGAGCTAAAAGAATGTTGAAATTACTTTTTCATAAACCCTTAAACCAAAAGGATATTTATTATCCCGACCATTTCAACGTAGCTACCCCGAAAAAATGTTTTTGTATATCAGAGTTAACCACTTTTAGTTACTTTTCCCTGTTGTTTTATTGTTATTATTATTTTCTATATATCTTTTTTTCAACTGTTTCGGTTAACTTAATTGGTCCGAATACATTCATGCCCTATTAACTTGATCACGCGCGAGTCATATGCTTAGACAAAACTGTTTAGTACATTTTAATAGAAGGAAATTACCTGTATATACCAGAGTACACTCGAGCCGAAATTTATAACTACAATAAACGGTAACAAGCATTTCTTGATCCGCCTCACTATGTTCCGACTTTTTTTGGAGAGCCTCGATAACAGAAAAAAATAAAGCCTGGCTACAGGCACGATGAAGCTGGATCAGTAAATTCCTTTTCGGACGAAACTGTTTCTTCCATCGAAGGGGACTATACCCTAACACACTTAACCAAAAATATGTTGATCGACAGTAACACAACAGTGCAGACGAAAGAAAACAAGACTGTAGCCTTTACTAACAATCGGTTCAGCTTGGTCGCCTGCTAAAAGTGGTAACAAACGTACCGGCAACATAACAAGTGTCTTTTAATTTAATTAGTTGTCTCTACTGAGTTCGCTTTAAACACACAACCGTAGAATGATCATGATATACATATATGTAGCGAATATAATCCAGTATTCGCTTGGAGCCAGCAGCTCCATCTTGCAGAAATCATACCCATTGCTCGCCGAGTTTTTCTTGGTTCAAATTTCCCAGCTATATTTCGCCAAACCAGCTAACAACGCATTCAGTTATCGTGGAATTAGGAGAAATGAAATCCAAGCGTAAAGTAGTCTAACTTTTCCATGTATGGCATAATTCAATATTTATCTCTTTTTCAATTACCCTTCAATTATCCTCCCTTATCTTTTGCTGTCGATAGTACTATGAAAAAATTTAGGGATTATGAGTTATACTTACCTTACCTGAAAAAGTCGCGATCTGAACTGTTTGTGTTGTTTAATTTCAACGAAGATTTTCCTTTCCTTGAAATGCTAGCGTTTGGCCATCAGTCGGCAATCTTTTCATTTTCAATCTCTTACGGCGAGCTCGTTCTCAGAGTCTTCGTTACTCTTGTCCAGCGGAAAATGAGGAAATTGCCGCTTGCTGGCACGATTTGATTGCCCTGCATTCAAGGACTTAAACGGAATAAAGAAAATGGCTGTCTATCAAACACTTTAATTTTGGGCTAGGCACGCTCCAAATTGTTTGGCATTTTTACTCCCTTAAGAAACTCAGGGAAGATACTTTTTGCATCATAGTTTCGTGTTGTCTTGGAAAATGCCTATTTAACAGTTTCCAATGTAAGACAAAAAAAAAAACTTGAAAGGCTTACTTGCCGTTTGAATTGCCAATTTTTAGTGAACGTTCAAAACAAAATTGAAAATACACTAGTATGAAACCTTGTAAAAGTTCAGAAAGTTGGATTATTTAGTGTTGAGTTTATTTAAGGTATTATGGAACATGGCGTTGCTGGGGACCAGTGACATCATTCAAAATTGCCGATATCTTGGCAGTCGTCTTGGATTTTACTGAAAATGCAGACTTATGTTAATAATAATAATAATAATAATAATAATAATAATAATAATAATAATAATAATAATAATAATAATAATAATAATGGAATTTATATAGCGCTTGTACATCGCTGTTCTAAGCGCTTTACAATGTAAAAAAGGACATAAGAATATCATTAAGCACAAGCTTACATATAAACCTACTGTACATATTGGGAAATGAATGTTTGGCTTTTTAGCATACACATCTTAAAAAGGGAAGGAAAACAAAAAAAAACAAACAAACAAATATGATGAAACTAAATGTCATATACCTTTTTAAAAAGAAACGTTTTCAACTTAGATTTAAAAAATTAACATCAGAACAAGCTCGAATTTCAATGGGGAGCTTGTTCCATAGTCGGGGGCAGCAACGGAAAACGCTCGCTGGCCATAAGTTTTCATGTTAAAATTTGGTTC